ACTGAGCCTACAGGGGAGGGTAGTTAGGGGCGACCAAGCCGGCAGGGGAGGGCAGTTGGGGGCGACCAGGCCTGCAGGGGAGGGCAATTGGGGGTGACCAGGCCAGCAGGGGAGGGCAGTTGGAGGGAGACCAGGCCAGCAGGGGAGGGCAGCTGGGGGCAACCGGGCTGGCAGGGGAGGGCAGTTGGGGGCGACTGAGCCAGCAGGGGAGGGCAGTTGGAGGGAGACCAGGTCAGCAGAGAGGGCAGTTGGGGGCGACCAGGTCAGCAGGGGAAAGCAGCTGGGGGCAACCAGGCTGGCAGGGGAGGGCAGTTGGGGGCAACTGAGCCAGCAGGGGAGGGCAGTTGGGGGTGATCAGGCTGGCAGGGGAGCAGTTAGGCATCGATCAGTCAGGCAGGGGAGTGGTTAGGGGTGATTAGGCTGGCAGGCAGAAGCAGTTAGGAGCAATCAGGCAGGTATGCAGGCGAGCGGTTGGGAGCCAGCAGTCCTGGATTGTGAGAGGGATGTCCGACTGCTGGTTTCGGCCTGATCCCTGTGGGGTCCCAGATTGAAGAAGGTGCAGGCTGGGCTGAGGGATAACCCCCTCTCCAGTACACGAATTTCATGCACCAGGCCTCTAGTATAATATAAATGTCAAGTAAATCATTGTTATACTGTATTGTTTAGGGAATAATGACAAGAAAAAAGTCTGTACATGTTCAGACTTGTACATTGTAGGCCTAATAATACAGTACACATCAGCAACAATGTAACTTTCCCACCAAATATTGTTTCAATACACAGTTGGTTGAATCCCTCAGATATGGAGGACCCACAATACTGAATTTCAGCTTCAAATCATCTCAATTCCTGACTAGATTAAGGGGATTTGGATTATTAGTGTCCCAGAAAAAAAATTTACTAGTGACAAGAAACCAAAACAAAACCAAAAACACAGAAATCCTCTCTACAGAAGAAAAAAAAAAGTTTCTAAAACCCACAAATATCTCTAGAATTTTCCCCATACACTGTCTGGCATACAAGTAAAACAAAAATAAAAACCAGACATATGGAAAGACCAGACCATTTGATTGAAAAGAGAAAAAAGAAAGCCACAAGAGATCAAGATAATGAAAACATCAGAAAAAGACTTAGAAAGAATTCAATGACATGTCAGATGCAGCTGAAGAGAAAGTTAGTGAACTAGAAGAAAATATCCAGACTAAATCATGGAGAAACGGAAGAATGCAAAGTTCAGCAGTTTTTTTGTGATGCCTCTAGAGCTCTCTTTCTTTTTATCCAGATGGGGGTCAAAGTATTTCTTGAATTTATAGCTTGATGTATTTTGTAGTTTTCAAAAATCTCAGCCAGATGGAAGCACAAATATGCAGAAAGGAATGAAGATCAATTAAAACAATGAACATGTATTATGAATAAATCTAAATTTAAAATGTATAAATAATAGAATGTCTTATGTGGTTTAAAATATAAAATATGCTACTTTTTAAAAAGTGATACATGTATTCTCCTAGGTATCTACTGAAGAATAAAATGAATATATAATTAGCAAGGTAAGAGGAGAAGAAAAAAAAAGTAATAAAATCTAATCAATCCAAAGGTACCCAAGAAAGGAGAGAAAAAGGAAAGTTGAACATATGAAAGAACTAGAAAGCAAACAGCAAGGCAGATTTAAACTACATATACCAATAATTACATTAAAAGTAAGCATAAATATCTATAACAATAAAAGCATAATATGCTAATTAGACAGGACAGCCGACAACCTTCCAGACGAAGCCGGGGCTGCAAGGGCCAAGGCAAGCTGCTGCGGCTGCGAGGGCCGAGACCCTTGCATGAATTTCATGCATCGGACCTCTAATTCAAAAATAAAATGCAAGAAATGTGCCTTTAAGTGTAGATAGAGAATGGTTAAAAATAAAAGGAACAAAAAGATACCATGTAAAAATTAACCAAAGAAGTTAATTTATTTAATATCAGAGAAAATAGGTTTTAAGGTAAAATCTTAAAGAGGAGAATCTATAATAATAAAAACATAATATGCTAATTAGACCAAACATCCTTCCTGACAAAGCTGGGGCTGCGAGGGAAGCCTGGGTCCTGGGTGCCTGAGGGAAGCCGGTGCTAGCAGCTGGGGGAAGGAAGGCCTACTCTTGCCTTCCTCAGGCCTCTAGTTTCATAATATTAAAAGGTCCAATTCACCAAGATTATCAAATAATTATAAATTTGTATATATATCCCAAAGAGCCTCAAAATATATAAAGCAAAAATGGATAAATCCATAATTGTGGAAAATTTTAACACCTCTTTCAGTCAGTAATAGGACAGGCAGACAAAAAAAAATCAATAAAGATACAGAAGAGCTGAACAAGTTAACAAACCTGACCTACTCAACATATATATATAACACTACACTCAACAACTGTAGAATAGACACTATTTTCAGACATTTATAAAAACTGACCATATGCTGGGCCATAAAAGAAAAGTTCAACAAATTTCAAAAGATTAACATAATAAAAAGCATTTTTTCTTATCACAGTGGGTTTAAGCTATAAATTAATAACAAAAAAGTACCTAGAAAACCATCCTTTGTTGGAAATTAAGAACCATACTTTTATTTTATTTTTATATATTTTTGTGGATTTCAGAGAAGAAGGGAGAGGGAGAGAAAGAGAGAGAAACATCCATGATGAAAGAGAATCATAGATCAACTGCCTCCTGCACACCCCCTACTGGGGATCAAGCCCACAACCTGGACATGTGCCTGGACAGGAAATGAATCATGACCTCCTGGTTCATAGGTGGACACTCAACCACTGAGCCACACCAGCCAGACAGAAACCAGATTTTTAAATAACCCATGCGTCTACAAGAACTTGCAGTAAAAGCTAGAAATTATTTTGAATTGAAAGATAATAAAAAATGTGACCCAACAAATGTTTGGATGACTATACTCATGCTTAGAAAGCAATTAATACCCTTAAATACACATATTAGAAAAAAACAAAAATCAACCATCTAAGTTCCATCTTGAAACGTTAGAAAAATTTTAAAGTTTACCAAAAAATTAGACAAGAATAATAAAAGAGAATAAATAAATGAAATAGAAAACATACAGAACAGCCTACATCAGGGATGAAAAGTGGTACATTAACTATAAAAACATAAATCATATTTCATGGGAAAAATGACACCAGAGGCACTGATCACACTAGAACCATAAAACAAGTGTTACTTGCCAAATAAAATGAACTTTCAGATATTATCATCACAGATCGAAGTATCTTTTGAATGTAAACTAACCATAAACCTGAACAGAGTCTACACACCTATGTTCTTTAGGGAGGTGAACACATTTCTGACAATCTAAAGGAGTAACAGCAATAAAAACAATGAATCAAGAGAGCAGAGGTCATCAAACCTTTCCTGTAAATGGCCATATAATAAATATTTCTGCTTTGCGGGCCATACAGTCTCTGTCACAACTACTGAATTCAGCCATAAATAATACATAAACAAAAGAGCATGACTGTGTTCCAATATATACGATTTAAATTTCATACATGATTTGTTATGAAATATTTTTAATCAACAATTTAAAAATGTAAAAACTATTCTTAGCATGCAAGCTGTACAAAAAACTAGGTGGCAGATTCCTCAATAAGTTAAATATAGAATGATTTAGCAATTCTTCTCCTAAATACATACCCAAAAGAACTGAAAAACAAGACAGGTGTTCAAACAAAAACCTGTACATAAATGTTGACAGCAATGCTATTAACAATAGCCAAAAGATAGAAACAACCCTAATATCCATCAATAGATGAATGGATAAACAAAATACAGTATGCTTTATAATAAAAGCCTAATATGCTAAGTGTCCAGTTGTCCAGTTGACCATTCAACCAATCAAAGCATTATATGCTAATAATATGCTAAGGACGCTCATGCTAAGGATGCTATGACGTGCACTGACCACCAGGGGACAGTCGACTGGTCGACCAGTCGCTATGACGTGTACTGACCACCAGGGGGTAGACGCACCGACCAGGTTAGCTTGCTGCTGGGGTCCGGCCAATCGGGACTGAGTGAGACAGGCTGGACATGCCCTGGAGCCCTCCTATGGTCCCTCCCCGACTGGCCAACCTCCCGTGTTCCTCCCCAGCCCCAATTGTGCACCAGTAGGGTCCCTCAACCTGGCCTGTGCCCTCTCGCCATCCAGGACCCCTTGGGCATGTCAGAGAGCTGGTTTCGGCCCGATCCTGCAGGCCAGGCCAAGGGACCCCACTGGTGCACAAATTCCTGCACCAGGCCTCTAGTATCCAGATAATAAAATATTATTCAGTCAAAGGAATGAAGTACTGATATATCCTATAACACAGATGAACCTTGAAAACATTATGCTAAGTGAAAAGAAGCCAGACATAGAAGCCCTTACATTGCATGATTCCAGTTATATGAAACTAGAGGCCCAGTGCACAAAAATCGTGCAAGAATAGGCCTTCCTTCCCCCGGCTGCCAGCACCGGCTTCCCTCTGGCACCCGGGACCCAGGCTTCCCTCGCAGTCCCAGTTTCATCCGGAAGGTTGTCCAGAAGGACGTCTGGTCTAATTAGCATATTACACTTTTATTATTATAGATATCTAGTAAAATAAGCAAATCCATGGACACAGAAAGATCTGTGGTAACCAGGGTCTAGAGCAGTGGTTCTCAAACTTGGCTGCACATTAGCATCACCTGGGAATCTTTTTTTAAAATCCTGATTTCTGGGCCTCATCCTCCGGAAATTCTGTTTCTTTGTTACTAATGTTGTGGCCCCACCGCATAACAGAGAAACAGAATTTCCGGAGAATGAGGCCCAGAAATCAGGATTTTAAAAAGATTCCCAGGTGATTCTAATGTGCAGCCAAGGTTGAGAACCACTGGTCTAGAGGGAAAGGGGAATGAAAGGGAATTAAGGAGTCACTACTTGACTGGGAAGCGGTTTCTGTTTGGCACCATGAAGGAGATTCTGCAACCTGATATCAACCTGACCACTGCACCTTATTGTATATGTACTTAATGCTACTTCACTGTACACTTTAAATTGGTACATATTATGTTATGCGTACTTTATCACAATTTTTAAAAACTGGGAGAGCCCTGGCTGCTATGCACAGTGGTTAGAGCATTGGCTGTGCACCACAGGGTTTTGGTTCGATTCTACCCATCCTTCCTTGGGGCGTTTGTGGGAGGCACCAATTGATGTATGTGTCTCTGTTACACTGATGTTTCCTTCTCTTTCTCTTTCTTTTTCTCTTTCTCTTTTTCTTCCTCTTCCTTTTTCTCTTTCTCTCTTCCCACCCTCCTCCACTCCCAGCCTTCTACTCTCTCTAAAAATCAATGGGTAGCCGAAACCGGTTTGGCTCAGTGGATAGAGCGTCGGCCTTCGGACTGAAGGGTCCCAGGTTCGATTCCGGTCAAGGGCATGTACCTGGGTTGCGGGCACATCCCCAGTAGAAGATGTGCAGGAGGCAGCTGATCGATGTTTCTCTCTCATCGATGTTTCTAACTCTCTATCTCTCTCCCTTCCTCTCTGTAAAAAATCAATAAAATATATTTTAAAAAAATAAATAAATAAAAATAAAAATAAAAATCAATGGGTAAAAATATCCTTGAATGAGGATTAACAACAACAAAAAACAAAAATAAAAAATTGGGACAAACAAATGGAAACTGGGATTGGCCCAAAGGCCATATTTTACTGACCTGTAAATTATAGCATCAAAAGAAAGTTCAACATGCAAATGAAAGTTCAGTTCACGTATAGGTATAAAATCAAAGGAGAGGTAACAAAGACATAAATAGAACTTCATTGCCATCTATTGGTCAATGAAGGAAATACTGAAAACTTAATTTGATGGAAAATTTTAAGATTTAATTTCTAACTTCCTGATTGTTCATCTTGTACTGAGCAACACCACCACCAACAACAAAGGCGGAAAAAAAGATGGGCCCTGGTCGGGTGGCCTGGATGGTTGGAGTGTCAACCCGTGCACCAAAACATTGTGGTCAGGGCATATACCTGGGTTGCAGGTTTGAACCCCAGTCAGGGTGCATGAGAGAGGCAAGTGATCAATGTTTCTCTCTCACATTGATGTTTCTCTCTCACTATGTTTCTCTCTCTCAAATCAATAAACATATCCTTGAGTGAGACTTTTCTAAAAAGCAACACAAAAAAAGATGGGGAGCTCCATATCCCACATGACAAATAACTCTACAGAAAATATTCGTGCAAGGGGCTTGGCCTCCACCGCCATGGCGGCTTTGTCTGGAAGGATGTCCGGCCTAATTAGCATATTACACTTTTATTATTACAGATAGGGGAGGAATGATGACCATGCCATATATTACAGGATATGTGCCCTGATGATGATAAGCCAAAAATCTACATTAAACCAGCAAGGTAGATATTTTCTATTATGGTAGTTTGACCAAGAGCATTGATTATTGTGACCAATGTAGCAAATCACTCAAACTGGACTTTGGCTTTCTCACTTATGATGCACAAAGATTTATTGCTCCCATTGTAACATTTATATGAAATGTATGCAAGTTATTTTTGGGGACAAAAATGTAAGAAATTAAAAACTATTATGAGCACTTTAATAAGCGAGGCAGCAAGAGAGTCAGAAATTTTATTTTTAAAGAGCAATATAATTTTTTGTTGAATGATTTTTACCTTGAATTTAGGAACAAATCTAGTAAACTCCTGATGCCAATTATTAAGCGTAGAAGCAGGTGAAATTATTAAGAAAGGTCCCCAAATGTTCTCTCTCTGAAACAGAAAAACTGGGTTAGCAAACTGCAGGAAAACTGAAAATATTTAATTCAAAATTATAATTAACTACAAGAGCAGTTTAAGAATAGAAAGTACATTGTAACAAGAGAAATGGTGTTTATTCCAACATATTGGCACACTCAATAATATTCTATATTAATAATAACCCAGGAAGGAAGTTGCTCATACACATCTTGAGGAAAAAATAGCAAGCAATTACTGCCCTCTCCATCCAGCTCTTATCGGTCCTAAGTTATATCATTCACAAAGCACTTAGAACACACTGACTTTATGTGTTGCCTTCCCCTGTACTAGATGATTATATAATTTTACTATTATCTAAAGGTTTTTCTTTTTTCAAAAAGCTTTTACACATATTTTCTCATTTAATTTTTAAGAAGAAGTTTGCAGAAGTGGAAACAACCTTAAAGAGTTAAAGTGAAGTCAGGTCAAAGAGGTTGCATGAATTGTCTAAGTTTATACTGCCAGTAAGTGAACAGTTGAGATATGAACTCAGGTCCTCTGATCTAACCATACATTGTCTTTGCCACCACACTGGTGGTTCTCAACTGAGGGTGGAGGTGGTGGGAGAGGTTGCCAAACCATACATGCTCAAAAACTGTCCTAGTCTTCTTGGAAATCAAATGTTTCACTACATTACGTTACGCTGTAAAGGCTTTGAAGGCAAGGAGCAAATGCTACTGTCTTGGTATGCTACAAAGCCTAACATAGAGCTTGATAATGGCTGATTCTCAATAGAAAATGACCCTAGGATCTAGAGAGAGAAAAACAGAAAGATAGCATCTACCCACCTCAGCCAGATGGGCAAGGAGGGCAATGCTCTGTACTGTTTTACCAAGGCCCATTTCATCTGCAAGAATGCCATTAATACCCTGGAAAAAAACACACACATGGTTAACACCTCTCACATTCCATCATACAGGGTTCAAAAAGAACTAACCAAAATGTTAAACTTGTTCAAACAAATGTGACTAGAGATTCCAAGCTTCAGCACTTTATCCACTGCTGTAATGATTCATTTGCCAACTCCACAGCTACAACTGTGAATCATGAAGCCAGTTTTTTACCTAATCTAACCCAGGCACAGAAGCAAGCAACCACTTACCAAGACCACCTAAGACAAACTACACATATAATACAAATATTCTCCAATAAAATCTCCAGGTTAAAAATATAGAGACATCGTTTTTACTCTTGCCAAAGGATAAAGCTTTTTAAAAGGAATGAAATCTAAAACATTATCTTGTGCTTATTTCACAATATATTGAACCAATGACTTTAGAAAAACAGGTAACAAGTGAAAGATAATGGGTATAGCATAATTCTAAAATTTACCTGTTCATAGAGATTTGCTAACCAATTCATGCCTTTCAGTTGATAACCTTTTAATTTGCCATTAAAAATTGTGGGCTGTGGAATATCCTCACCAGCCCGGATAGATGGATTTGCCAGGCTGTAACTCTCCCCAAACCCACTGCCAGACTTGTTTGCTGCCCGTAGGGCAGCTGCTCGACTTTCTTTTGCATCTTCATCAAAAGACCTTGTCTGGAAAATAAAAATTTATTAGAAGAAAAATGTAACATCTCTTTTGGGCTAATTGGAACAAAACAATTTAACAATTATATTAAAAATATGCTCTTAATGGACAGACACTAAGCCTTATATATGATGACTTGCTTCATCAAGAAATTTATTGAAGTTTTTATATATATATATTTTTTAATTATACTTATTGATTTTAGAGAGAGAGGAAGGGCGAGAGAGAAAAAAAACGTTCATCTGTTGTTCCACGTATTTATACATTCTTTGGTTGCTTCTCTGTATGTGCCCTGGCCAGAGATTGAACACCCAAACGTGGCATAAGAGAACTACACTTCAACCAACTGAGTTACCTGACCAGGGTCTAGAAATTTATTAAAGTTTTTTTAAAATATATTTTTATTGATTTTAGAGAGGAAGGGAGATATAGAAACATCAATGATGAGAATCATTCATCGGCTGCCTCCTGTACGCCCCTTACTGGGGATCAAGCCATGTGCCCTGGCTGGGAATTGAACCGTGACCTCCTGGTTCATAGGTAGGCACTCAACCACCGAACCACACCAGATGGTCTTATTAAAGTTTTGATATAAAATTTGGTTGGTTGGGATTGATGGAAAGAAGGTCGAGTTTGTGTCTGTCCTTGACTTGTACCCACCCTACTGAAGTTATATATAGGTTCCTAGGCAGTCTATTAAACTGTTTTCTTTACTTAATTCAATCTAACTGGAGTTTCTTCCTTACTTCATTAAAAAGCACTTTATCATGAATAAGCAAATTATTACTGAAGTGAATGAAGGTACTAACTTATCAGTTTTCTTAAGGCATAATATAGCTCGCTTAACAAGCAAAAAATGTGGTCTTTTCTAATGCATTTCCTACTGTGTTTCCCATGATTTCTTGAGAGAACAAAAAATAGGCAAACTTCCTAACTTCAATCAACACACTCCTGAAGCTTAAACATATGAAGGTTCATTTTCCACCTTTCCTCAATCACCTACAGATACTCACATTTGCTAATGTTTTTCATAGAAAATATGATTAAGATAAAAGAAGAACACCCAAGTAGAAGGTTGTAGGTTATTTCCAGGGCCCATTATAGTTTATCTTTTCATTTTTAAGACTCACCCGAGCTTGATGAATATGGTAAGCATTTTCAGCATTCTTCAGGGCCTGGGCTTTGAAATGGTTACTATCTGAAAAGGAAAACTTATAGATTATCTACCTCATTAATTGATCTCAATCAAAGATGCAATGTACATCAACATGTTTGGATCTGTGACTCCCCTGTTCTACTTATCCCTAGGTTCATAGAGGATGAGGGAGCATAAAGGCTCAAATTAAGTATTTGACAGAGGTAAGGAAGTTACAATGGAGGCAGAGGGCTGATATGGTGTCCCATAACCAAAGCCAGCACAAAAAAATCACCAGGAGCCCTGGCTGGGTGACTCATTTAGTTGGAGTGTTGTCCTGTACACAAAAAGGTTGTAGGTTCAATTCCCAGTCAGGGTACATACCTAGGTTGTGGGTTTGATCTCCAGTTGGGGTGTGTGCTGAAGACAACCGATTGATGATTTTTCTCTCTCACATCGATGTTTCTCTCTTTTTCTCTCTCTCTCTCCCCCCCTCTTTCTCTCTAAAATCAGTAAATGTATATCCTCAGGTGAGGATTTTTTTTTTAATTGCCAGGAGATTGAGCTCATCTGCTAATTCTGGGTTTCTTGCATGAAGCAATGTCAAAGCCAGTAAAATAAGACAACAAGGATTCAAAATTGTGATATATTTATGCCAGGTGAAATTATTCCAAAAGAAGAAATACAGACATGTGTAATCCCCAAGATACTCTGAAGCATCCCCATTTCTCTTTCACTCTTAGCTCAACATGATTTTGATCACTATTCTCTGTAAAATTCCTCTCAAACTCCATCACTATGCCTCCCTACCTGTGTTCACAAAAATACTAAAACTGAACAGTCTCTTTCTCATGCCTGACTTGCATCACTAACAACCTTGTTATGTGAGACATGATGTTCTCTTCTGAGACATGTTCACTGAATTCTTCCAATTTAATATCTTCTATTTCTACTAATGTATAAGAACATATAAAATATTCCCAAACTTATAAGATCATATAACCTGACCCTTTCCTTTTCAAATTCTTAAATAAAATTTTTATATTTTTATTTTATATAAACACTCACATTTTCCTACGCTGGTATAATAAATTCCCCTTTATTGATCAATATTACGTATCAGTTAAGACAAAACTTACAATTAATCATGTGTATAACCTTACATATGAAAAAATGGAGGGTATCGGCTTCCTATAACTTCTGATTTGGGACTCACCATAATCCTCCTGTGTGATGTTAACTACCACCCCTCCACCAATGTCAATTTGTCTCTGGGTAGAACTGTCTTCCAGTTTCCTTAGGATTTCCTCCTGGATCCCATCATGACCCATGTCTCGTTTGCGACTCATAAAATGGGCATACAACTCTGTCTGGGTGATTAGGAAGTTCAGTTTTCGCTGTTGCCTCTTGGCCTAAACAGGAAAAACATTGAAGTGAAAAGAGTCACACCATTAATCATAAACCAAGAGGTAGTCAACAAAATTCACCAAACCTATATATAGTTTGCAATGTAATTCCTTTATAAATTCTTTATCATTAGAAAGGTGAAAACTGCTAATGAACAATTTTATAATAATCAAGTCCTGGTACTAAACACAAATAATAACCTTCATTTATAGTCTAATAGTAATCTATATTTTGCTCTCCTTTATAATATGAAATCTTTCTCCATTTGGCTTCTGTCTAAAATGTTTATTTCTGCCCTAGCCAGTTTGGCTCAGTGGACAGAGTGCCTGCCTGTGGATTGAAGGGTCCCGGGTTCGATCCCAGTCAAGGGCACATGCCTGGTTGCAGTCTCGATCCCCAGTAGGAGGCATGCAGGAGGCAGCCAATCAATGATTCTCTCTCATCATTGATGTTTCTCTCTCTCCCTCTCCCTTCCTATCTGAAATCAATAAAAATATATTTAAAAATAAATAAACAAATAAATAAAATGCTTATTTCTGCCCAGCCAGTGTGGCTCAGTTGGTTGAGCATCGGCCCACGAACCAGGAGGTCACATGCCCAGGTTGTGGGCTCAATCCCCCGTGGGAGGCATGCAGAAGGCAGCCACTCGGTGTTTCTATCTCTCTCTCCCTCTCTCTTCCTCTCTTTGAAATCAATAAAAACATATTTAAAAATAAATACATACATAAAACGCTTATTTCTTTACTATATTACTTTTTTTTAAAAATATATTTTATTGACTTTTTACAGAGAGGAAGGGAGAGAGAGAGAGAGTCAGGAACATCGATGAGAGAGAAACATCAGTCAGCTGCTTCCTGCACACCTCCCACTGGGGATGTGCCCGCAACCCAGGTACATGCCCTTGACCGGAATCGAACCTGGGACCTTTCAGTCAGCAGGCCGACGCTCTATCCACTGAGCCAAACCGGTTTCAGCTACTATATTACTTTTTTATAGTGGCACTGAGACAGCAACTAAATTCAAGCTACATATTTTATTTCATAACCTGGGTGGTAAAGACATTTGTATAGCTTCATTATATTAAAAAATGTAAACGTGTCAGAAACTCTTCTTTATCTATTACCAAAAGGCAAAGTGCTAGGACAGCCGTGGGCAAACTACGGCCCGTTTGAAATGAATAAAACTAAAAAAAAAAAAAAGACCGTACCCTTTTATGTAATGATGTTTACTTTGAATTTATATTAGTTCACACAAACACTCCATCCATGCTTTTGTTCCGGCCCTCCGGTCCAGTTTAAGAACCCATTGTGGCCCTCGAGTCAAAAAGTTTGCCCACCCCTGTGCTAGGAGCTATAAATTATTCTTGAAGTCAATGCAGAAAGTATCTGAGAAAAATAAGCCAATCAAAGGAAGAAAATGCTCCCCAAACAACATATAGTTTACGTGTGATGATAGTTACAAAATATGGTTATAAACCAAAATATGGTTATAAACCAAATACATGCTCACAAACACATACTTTTTTTAAAATGTAAAATGCTAATTCAAAGTGCCTCTGAAATAACCTGGTAAGGAAAATAATCATTGTGTCAATAAATAAAGTCATTCATCAAAATAAACAGTAAAATGAGCAAACAAATACCATAATGATCGAATAATATGAAATATAGCACATACAATAAATACAAAATTAAAGTCATTTTTCATTAACTATTTTATAATAAAATTCCTACGAATTGTATGTGACTTATCCTTAGATCTACTTTCCCCAAAGAAAAACAGCAATAATATAAGGAATAAGGCCAAGAAAGACCCAAGTCCCAAAGTAAGCCACATAAAACTATTCTTTTTTTAAGGGTTTTATAGCATTTGAGCCAGATTCAAATTAGAAGAAAATCTGAGAGTTTGAGAAAACACTGAGCTTATTTTTCATAACAGATACAAATGCTCATGATCCAAAGCTAAAGTATAGTCAAGAAAACCTTTCTAAAACTAAAACAAAAAAGAGTAATGTCCAGGCCCTAACTGGTTTTGCTCAGTGGACAGAGCGTCAGCCTGTGAACTGAAGGATCCCAGGTTTGATTCTGGTCAAGGGCACATGCCAGGGTTGGAGGCTCGATCCCCAATGTGGGGTGTGCAGGAGGCAGCCGATCAATAATTCTCTCTCATCATTGATGTTTCTATCTCTTCTCCCTTCCTCTCTCTGAAATCAATAAAAAATATTTTCTAAAGAAAGAGTAATGTCACCTTAAAGAAGGCAACTACTGTTTAAATAAACAATGTAAATAAAAGGAACAATAAATATCCATAAAAAATAGTTTTATTTCAAAAGTTAAAAAAAAAGACATACAAGTCAACATAACTGTAAATGAAACTGTCATCAGTTAGCTATCAACATAATTATAATTGGGACAATGCCTCACAAACCTAGATCATAATAAGCCAAGTCGCTTATAAACTTTAAGATCTGTGACTAACTTTTAAATGCCTCTAAACTCAGTAAGTATTCACAATAGCATCAAATGTTTACTAATTCAATAATACTGTATGTTCATCTTGCAAGCAAAGATAAAAGTTACCCAGGGGACTTAAATGAACTGGGCAAAATCCATATTCGTTCTCAAAGGCATGATAAAGGAGGGAAGATCAAAAGTTTAGGACAGGATCCACAGCTCTGCTTGGCAAGAATACTACCTATACTGAAAGAAAACATCCAAACCTTTGAATCCCTTCTTTTTCAGACCTCAACTTTCCTTCCATTCATCCCAAATGGTTTCCCAAAGGGAACACAGTAACTTTGTCCTCTTATTCTCCCCTCTTGCTTCCCTAAACAATATACTCAACCTATATCAGACTTAGCAGGAGTACTAGCTGCAGTTTAAAACAGCAAAGTAGGTTAGGGGGTGGGTCTCAGAAAACTGGGCTAGTTGTCCATTCTCCCTATCTGGCCCTAAATTTGGCAAACAGCCCTGATCTTCTAACAAATCAAAACTGCAGCCAGCACCTGGAACCAAGCCAAGATAAGCTGTAAGCTAATTCCTTTTACTTTCGTTCATTTTTCTCCTCTCCCCTCTCTCTCTCTCTCTCTCTCTCTCTCTCTCTCTCTCTCTGGTCCTCGAGAAATATACAAAGAAATAGGCTGCAAAGAATAGAAGAAATTGGCATAAAAGAGAGGTGAAGGCCAGGGAGAGGGCCTTATTGAAAGAATAAGAATATAGTTAGTTTTCTGGACTAAAATCACCATCCTCAAAACATCCTTAAAACATTTTTACACAACTTCATTGATTAGATTTATAAATTCTGAAGTGCAAACAATCTCTTAATATGGCTGCAGCAATTAGGATTTTCAAAATATTATGCTACTGTCCTACCTCCCGCATTTCCTCATCCAACTTCCGTTGCTCCAAGGCTTCCTTTTCAGCCCGCTTGCGGTGTTCCTTCTCCACCTTCTCGTACTTCTTCCAGTACAGAAGCATCTCCTTGGTAAGGCGGCGGGCACGAGGCAAGGTCTCCTTACAGTTCTTCTGGGCCTGCAAGGCAGCTCGACGTACCTCCTTCATGCACTGGTGGGCAAGCTGCAAATAACAGCATTATCACAATGGCGGACCCAACACCAACGCCAGTGCTCCCTGGGCTCCAAACCACAGCATTCCTCATTCCATTCAGTGCACAGTCCTCCTACGGCAGCGGTTCTCAACCTGTGGGTCGCGGCCCCTTTGGGGGTTGAACGACCTTTTCACAGGGCTCGCCTAAATACATCCTGGCATATCAGATATTTACATTACGATTCATAACAGTGGCAAAATTACAGTTATGAAGTAGCAACAAAAATAATTTTATGGTTGGGGGTCACCACAACATGAGGAACTGTATTAAAGGGTCGTGGCATTAGGAAGGTTGAGAACCACTGTCCTACGGCCACATTTCTTTCTCCCCCAAACTGATTAACATCCCTGTATTGTACTATGATCCAGTTTTAGACCCTGAGGTAGTATCAGGGATGAGAAATCTGTAGATAAAATGCCTGAGAAAATTAAAAAGAAAAAGTATAATGATCTGAGATGTGCTAGGAAGTTACAAAGTGTTATCACACATAATAATAAAACCTATCAATGCTTATTAAATGCTAAGCACCAATCTAAGTTTAATATACATTAAGCTAACTTATTCTTCACAAAACCCCTATGAAGTTGGTATTATCATCATCCTCATTTCATAGATGAAGAAACTGAGGATGAGTGATTAACTAGCTCAGGGAAATACAACGAGGAACATTACCTCACCTAATCCTCACAACTCTCAAAGGAAGCTGGGTTACTCCCCTCGAAGGGAAGGTATTAATATAATCATTTATTAGATGAAGAGACAGAATGCAAGAAGATTCTGTGGTCTGCCCAAGGAATTAAGAATAGGCTAAGATCTTACCAAAAAAGGTTCAAATACCAGAAATGTGAGAAAGAACAATGTTATTTATAAAATTGATGAGAACATTTAGAAACTCTCTTAGGTACTATCAGATTCATTATCAATAGGTCACAAGAGACAAGAACAGCAATTATGTATCCAAAGAACAAGAGCACATTCCAGCAAAACATAAAATGGAAAATAGAAAGCTACAATTTTACCTTTCGGCTATTGGTGAGAAACAGGTTACGAGCTGAAGCTTTCTGCTTGTTGGCCTAAAATATTTAAAAAACAATTATTTCATTTAGGATTCCTTTTTGAGAAGATATTATGTACTGACATTGTCTTTTATTCAACTTGAGGATTAAAAATAAAGCATCATCCTGGCCGGTTTGGCTTAGTGGTTGCAGCTGTTCTCAACCTGTGGGTCGAGACCATCGGAAAACACATATAGCATATCAGATATTTACATTACAATTCATAACAGTAGCAAAATTACAGTTATGAAGTAGCAACAAAAATAATTTTATGGTTGGGGGTCACCACAACATGAGGAACTGTATTAAAGGGTCGCGGCATTAGGAAGGTTGAGAACCACTGGGTTAGAGTGTCAGACTGAATGGTCACGGGTTCAATTCTGGTGAAGGGCATGTACCTCAGTTGCAGTTCAATCTGTGGCCCCAGTAGGGGTGCGTGCAGGAGGCAACCAAAAAGAAAAGCATCAAGTGAAGCATATTCAAATACATTACTGACTCAAGAACCACATATAAACCTACTAAATTAGCATTAAAAATAATAAGCTAGTGCTATCACTGCCTTAGAGTCTTCTGTACACTTTTGGAAAGAATTTAAGTTATACTGAAGGCTGGAAGTGGAGTAGGAAAATGTAACACCATATCCTAACTCTAATATCACCCTTATTAAAAAAAAACACTGCGTTCCTAGGCTGATCTGCAAAGAAGCTGAGATACCATGGCACTCAGATACAGAAATTGTTAGAAGAAAGATAAACTAGCCCCCCAGTTTGTGATTCTAGCTCCACCTCCAGACAGGGCAAACCTGCTGCCACTATTACTCAGTTTCTGCCACCACTTAAACATCATTTTCTACAACAAAAAAAATCCTGAGGCAGACCTAACAGATGATGACTCAGCAACCTCGAGCTGCTTATTATGTCTTCCACTTCAGTTTAAAGAAACCGAATTTCCCATGATGGCTCATTTGTCATTGGAGAAGATACAGAAGAGGCAGAGGTGTGTGGTTCTCTGACTATTAAAAAGCTCTCCCTGATTCTGAAGAAACAATGGATTGAAAATTATAGAGGGGCCCTAGCTGGTTTGGCTCAGTGGATAGAGAGTTGGCCTGTGGACAGAAGGGTCCTGGGTTTGATTGCGGGTCAAGGGCATGATTCCGGTCAAGGGCACATACCTCAGTTGCAGGGTCCTCCTGGACCTGAGCCCTGGTCGGGGCACATGCAGGAGACAACCAATCAATGTGTTTCTCTCACATCGATATTTCTGTCTTTCCCTCTCTCTTCCACTCTCTCTAAAAAAATCAATGGAAAAATACCCTCGGGTGAGGATTAGCAACAACAAAAACAAAGTTACAGAGGGCATGAAAGCTGTTTCTATAATATACCCAACTCAGACTGTCTGCTTAAGGAGTTTTTAAGGCATTTTACCAAAATTTCCTTACTGATTCTTCTTTTCTTTTCTTTTCTTTTGTTAATCCTCACCCAAGGATATTTTTCCATTAATTTTTTTAGAGAGAGTGGAAGAGGGGGAGGGGGGGGAGAGAGAGAAACATCAATGTGTCTGAGAGAGACACATTGATCGCATGTGCCCCGACCAGAGCCAGGGATCGAGCTTGCAACTAAGGTACGTGGTCCTTGACTGGAATCGAACCTGGGATCCTTCAGTCTGCAGGTGGATGCTCTATCCACTGACCCAAACCAGCTAGGACTCTCCTACTAATTCTTCAGCAGTTTTTAAAGACAAGAATCTCAAATATTTCCACTGAATTCCTTATCATAGGAAAGACATCACCTGAAGCCTCATCACCAGAACCTAAAGCATGTTTCCTCATAACTTTTCCCATCAAGAATGCTCATACGTAAACTCTCTCTGTGGACATACTTATAAATTTCTAGACAGAAAAACCATACCAAGGGATCAAAGCTAATAACACCAATATTGATTCAGGTGTATCATGTGCCTCCTGATGTGATATACAAAGGACACATCTCTTCCCTAGTAATCCTGCCAAAAATGTAAAACCCAAACCTAATCATGAGGTAACATCATACGAACCCAAATTCAGAAACATTCTACAAAATACCTGGCCTATACTCTTCAGAATAATAATGTCATGAAAGATGAAGGCTGCAAAATTGTTTCAGATTCAAGGACATGAGAGACATGAAAACTAAATGCAACATGTAGTTCTAGATTGGATCCTGGATTGAATCAGTAAAGAAAAAAAAGCATGTAGAGGACATTATTGAGACAACTGATAAAATTTGAATTATGGTCTGTGGATCAGATCATTTTTATAATTGCACTGTGGTTATATATGACAAGATGTCCTTTTTCTAAGGAATTTCACACTGAATTATTAGGAGTAAGTTTAGCACAAAGTCTCAAACCTTTAAAATGGCTAAAAGTATACATTTAGGTAAAAAAGCAAATGAGACAAACAATTGCTAAATATGAGTAAAAGATACTTGGCAGTTTCTTGCATTATTCTTGCCATATATTTTTAAAAACTGTTTTGAACGAATTTTAGACACAGAAAATTTGCAAAAAATAACATAGTTCCCTTACATACCTCCCCCTGCTTTTCCTAATTTTAGCATCTTATATAACCATAGTATAATTAATAAGAAAATAATTTAACACTGGTAAAATATTAACTAAACCATAGGTCTTATTTGAATGTCAACTATTTCCTCACTAATATTCTTTTACTGTTACAGAATCCTAAATAGGATCCTACATTGCTTTTTGTTGCTTTTCCCCTTAGTCTCTTCCTGTATGTAACATTTCTTATATCTATCTTTCTCTTTCATGTCCTTGACACTTCTGAAAAACACCAATCAGTTATTCTTTTAAACATGCCAAAATTTGTGGTTTTCTCATGGTTGAAATGACATGCATTTTGACAGAATTCCATAGAAATGATGTGTTATTCTCAGTGCATCACATCAAGGAGTTCACGATGTCAAAATTTATATTAGTAGTGATGTTTACTTGGATCATTTGGTTAAGTGCATTCTGCTAGTTTTCACCACTATAGTTACTATCTTTCACTTTGTACTAAAATACGTATGCCGAGGCAGGTGCTTTGAATCTATGCAAGTTGTTTCTCCTCTAACTTTTGCCCTCTAAATTTTTTTAAGATATATTTTTATTGATTTCAAAGAAAGAAAGGGAGAGGGAGAGATAGAAACAATAATGATGAAAGAATCATTGATCAGCTGCCTCCTGCATGCCCCCTACTGGGGACCTAGCCTGCAACCTGGGCATGTGCCCTGGCCGGGAATGGAGCTGTGACTTCCTGGTTCATAGATCAACACTCACCACTGAGTGACACTGGCCAGGCTGCCCTCTAATTTTAGCATTCATCAATGGTTCCAATCTGCAACAATTATTACTGTAGTGTTTGTGTAATGGTTCTCTATTTCCTTCCTTCTACACTTATTTGTTGAAATTCTATTGTAAGGAAGAGTTGTTCCTTCTTCCTTACCTTTTTGCTTATTCATTTTTTTACAACAGTATGAATTCATAAATATTTCTTTATTCTAGGAGTTAAAATTCAGAATTATTACTATATATTTTGTTGTTCAAATTACTCTAACAATGGCTACCTCCTTCAGGTTGGTTGCTATGTTCTTCTGACAAGCTCCCCCCCACCCCCGCCCTGCTCCTCCATCTTTTTTCAATTACTTCCCTATTTTCTGATACCAAAAGATGTTTAAGGCTCACCTTTTTAATTTGTATTACTCCAATTATGAGAGACTTATTGAACATTTTTACTATGTTTGAGGGCCATTTTTAAAAAATGTTTTTACTGATTTTCAGAGAGAGGAAAGAAGAGGGAGGGAGGAAGAAAGAGAGAGAGAGAGAGAGAGAGAGAGAGAGAGAGAGAGAGAGAGAGAAACATTAATTAGTTGCTTCCCATATGCACTCCTACTGGGAATTGAGCCTGCAACCTGGGCATGTACCCTGACCAGGAATCAAACCCATGACCTTGTTGTGTAGGACGACACTCAACCAACTAAGCCACAGCAGCCAGGGTGAGGCTATTTCTATATCTTTCTTTGTGAATTGTCTATTCATGTCATTTTCCCATTTGTTTAATCAATTTATGGCATTTTGTCCCTGTGTTGAGACACAGATCTAATTTTATTTTTTTCCAAGTGGCTACCCCATTGTCCCAGCACCACTTATTTTTTTTCCCATTGTCTTTTGTCATGCAAAAACTTATTCTATGTAGTCAAATTTACCAATATTTTCTTTTATTGCTTCTGAATACTGAGTCACAATTAGAAACTCTTTTCCTACACAAAGGTTAAATAGGAATGCAATCATTTTCTTCTAGTATTTGGATGGTTTCATTGTATTACATTGAGATCCCTAATCCATTTGGAGTACATGTGTTGAGACACAGATCTAATTTTATTTTTTTCCAAGTGGCTACCCCATTGTCCCAGCACCACTTATTTTTTTTCGTTTTTATTTAGTCTATTGGGGTGATATTTGTTAGCAAAATTATACAAGTTTCAGGTGCACAATTCTATAATACATCATCTGTACACTATAGTGTGTGTTCTCCACCCCAAGTCAAGTCTCCTTCTATCACCATCTATCCCCCCTATATACTTTCCTCCACTTCCCCCATCCACCTTCTACAGCACCACTTATTAAAAGACTAAAAAGAATGCTTATACATGTTTCTCTTGAATCATTCACATTTTCTTTTAATGCCTGTATTATTCAGTAACAGCCAAATGTTTATAAATTCTCTAACAAACATCTCCACCATTTTAATTTCCTCTATTATCACCTATCTACTTGCTGTCAATCTCTATTGCTATATGTAATAAAACTATGTGTCTTCCTCAAGGCCAAGGAGCATCACACAATTATTTGTCTTGTGAATTCTGATCAAATTCTAGAAAAACAGTTAACTGAAGAGAGTACTACTCAGCATTCTTTCAATTTCAACAAATTAGTTTCCTTTCTGAAGTGTGAAGGTATCTAGCTCTCACAGCTCCTCTTTAAAGAGCAGGCAGAAAAAATATCCTCGCACCGCCTGCACTGGAGGCACTCACTTACCTTTGGTAGTTCCTTTTTCACAATGCTGAGCCATACTTTCCTGCGACGAGCATTAAGCTGTTCAATGGATAAGTGCTTCTTCTTGATGCCAGGAGGAGGTGCATCATGAGAGAACTTGGCAAAGACTTTGGTCTGGTGGTGGTGGCGACGAGGGGATTCTTCAGAGGAAAGTTCTTCATCCCTTCGCCTTTTTTTCTTCACTTTTTTTAACTTGGCTACAAAAGAAACAGTCTTTCAGAGGTTGCATTTCTTCCCTTCCCCAGGAGACAGCAACAAAACAACCTCATCACTTTAAGAAAATTCAAGGTTCTTCCTCATTCTACCGGAAGCTGGCAATGTTTATCTGTATATCTATTCAGGCCATGAATATTCCAAGAGGAAGATCTCACTACCTTGGAAAAGAACACTGGATACTCCCTTTGTTTACATGAAAGAGAAACACAAAATAAAACATAAAAACTGGCTTTCTTTTGAACCCAACAACAGGAAAGAAAGTTTATGAAGTATCATGGGCTCAGGTAATGGTCAAAAGGAAGAAAACATTTCTACTTGGTAGCAATGTAAGGTAGCTAAAGAGAAATAATAGAGAAAGAAAAAATGCATTAACTGATGTGATGCTAAGACTTGTGAAGACAAAATTATACAAGGAACAGAAACCTAATTAGAGGGGGAGGGTGTGAAGAATGAGAAAACAGAGATAAACAAGGAGGATGTGGGAGAAAGAAGGGAAAAGGCTGAAAAGAATCTTTCTGAGTGGAGTTCATACCTTCAAGAGGAATAAAATCTGTCTGTACAGATAATTTAACATCCCCTTCCTATTTCCTTCCTGATTTCCAGCTGCTGAGAGCTCAGTAAGATAGGAAAGGACATTTCCTGACAAACATGCAAAAATACTACATAAGATCATCAGGAGGTAATCTGTTTTAAATAACTACATATAGCAACAATTACAACTTATTCCAAACACTTCAGGTTACTTTTCATATTAACTAACTTTTTCCACTCCCAGAGCATTTTCAACATTTGGAGAATGTATAGAAGAAAAAAGGAATAAACTAATTGGAATAAACTAGGAATCCATAGTTCTTATGTCTTCATTATTCTAGAAAAGATCATAAATCAAATACAAAATAAAGTCAATAGTACTTACAACTAATTAGACAGGGGAAACTAGTGTATTTCAGATAAAGCAAATTTCTACACGGATTATGTTCAAAGTCCAAATGCATCAGGAAGCCATACAAAATCCTGAAACAAAGAATGAGTAAATGGGGAAGGCAGGCCAATATACTCACCTTTAAGTTTCTTTTCCTCCTTAAATTTCTTTTTTTTGGGTCCAAGTAGGTGACGTTGTTGCTCATAGAAAGGGTCATATGTGGAGAGCAGGCCTGCACTGTAGTACTGGTATTGCTGCAACTGAAGCAAAGACAGTGATCCTTAGAAAGGCCTACCTATGTCTTACAGCACAGTCTTCAAATCACCTCTACTATAGAAAGCTGAGCCTGAGAAAACCCTACCTCCTAAATACAGTATTCTTCCCACAAAGAGACCAATAAAGATTTAGTACATCAAAGTGAATTATTTTCTAAACTTCAAATCAAAATAGATTCATTGGCAAGGACAAGCAAGTTGCTGGAAATAACTTCAGAGATGAAACTCTTCATGCTTCTGAGTCTCCACCAGAATATTTACTTAGTTCTGACACATACAAGGTAGATCAAAAGTAGGTTTACATTTGTTCATATGAATAACGCAATTATCTACGCTAATAAAAGAGAAACATGCAAATTGGTATAGCTCCGTTACGCCCACCAGCCAATCAGGATGAGTATAAAAATTAACCCAACAAAGATGGCGGTAAATTTGCATATGCAGGCGTGGGGCGAAGACTGAAGGCTCTGCCCAAACGAAGACTGAAGACGACTAAAGACTGAAGATGACTGAAGACTGAAGAGGCTTGCCTTCTCTGCTGCGGTCGGAGCGGAGAAGCCTCCAGGCTTGGCTTCTCCACTGCACCCGGAGGGAAGGCCTGGGTTCCAGGTGCCGGAGGAAAATCGTAGCCGGCAGCCAGGGGAAGGAAGGCCTACTGCACGAATCTCTTCATGCAACAGGCCTCTAGTCTATATATAAAAGCCTAAGCGACCATTCGACCATCTGACCAATAGCTATGACATGCAATGACCACCAGAGGGCAGATGCCATGACCAGTAGCTATGATGCACATTGACCAACAGGGGGTAGACGCTCAATGCGGGAGCTGTCGAGCTGCCAAGCTGCAGTGACTTGGCAGCTGCGGTTCTCAGGTGACACACCAGAACCAGAGAGGCGGGAGCCCGATTCTGGGGAGCGTCACCCCAGAACCACCCTCTTGCAATCCGAGACCCTTCAGGGGATATCAAAGAGTCGATTTCAGCCCGATCCCCGCAGGTCAGGCAGAGGGACCCCACCGGTGCACGAATAATACAATAAATAATAATACAAGAATAAACTGTGCTTTGCCTATATATAACTGTAAACCTACTTTTGCTCTACCTTGTATTTGAGGCAAGTAATTCTTTGCAGAAAGATCTCCTCTTGGAATTCATCAACAAGATATAAACCATATTTCTAGCCGAAACCGGTTTGGCTCAATGGATAGAGCATCGGCCTGCGGACTGAAGGGTCCCAGGTTTGATTCCGGTCAAGGGCATATACCTTGGTTGCGGGCATATCCCCAGTGGGAGATGTGCAGGAGGCAGCTGATCGATGTTTCTCTCTCATCGATGTTTCTAACTCTCTATCCCTCTCCCTTCCTCTCTGTAAAAAATCAATAAAATATATTTAAAAAAAACAACAAACCATATTTCTACTATGAATAGATCCTCAGATTTTCCAAGGTTTCTGATGCCCTCTATTCTAGCTTTCAGTCTTATATTTGGTCCAAACAGTCACCAGCCATCCCAATTCTTCATTGTTTCAAGTCTTTTCTATCTTCATCTACTACTAAGGGAGTCTGACAATATTATGAATAGTGCCTATGTTGCCAGAATTATAACATAGGAATAATTCCTTTTGCTTTCCAGGGAATAGTTAATACTTTCAAACATTTCATTTAAATTGACCCCCAAAGCTCACATTAATTCCATCACAATTATTACTAATGGATAAATATGAATATAAATTAAAATTAGGTAGTCCAATGTCAAATCTCTTTTCCTGGATTATGGCCAAATGAGTTTTCCAAGAAATGAAACTAAAAAAGAAGAGAACTATTACAAGGTCACCTGTCAAAGTTCAAAATTAAATGAGCAATCATCAAGCTGTATACTTAAAACCAGTGAACTTTTCCATATGAAAGTTTTCAATTCAAAAAACCACAAATAGCCCTAGATGGTTTGGCTCAGTGAATAGAGTGTCAGCCTGTGGATTGAAGAGTCCTGGGATCGATTCTGGTCAAGGGCACATGCCAGGGTAGCGGGCTCAATCCCCAGGGGGCGAATGCAGGAGGCAGCCGATCAATGGTTCTCTCTCATCATTGATATTTCCATCTCTCTCTCTGCCTCTCCCTGCCTCTCTGAAATCAATAAAAATTTATTTAAAATAATAATAATCCTATCTAGCTCTGGCTGGTTTGGCTCAGTGGATAGAGTGTCGGCCTGCAAACTGAAGGGTCCCAGGTTCGATTCCAGTCAAGGGCATGTACCTTGGTTGCAGGCATATCCCCAGTGGGAGGTGTGCAGGAGGCAGCTGATCGATGTTTCTCTCTCATCGATGTTTCTGACTCTCTATCCCTCTCCCTTTCTCTCTGTAAAAAATCAATAAAATATATTTTTTTAAAAAAAATCCTATCTAGTAAAAGAGTAATATGCAAATTAACCATCACCCCCTCACTCCCTCACTCCGTTACAAAGATGGCGGCGGCCACGGAGCTGGAGGGAACGGGAGGCTTGTGTTGCCCCTGGCAATGGAGGAAGCCAAGCTTCCTGCCTGCCCTGCCAGCCCTGAGCTCTGCTCAAGGCTACAAAGTTTCAATTATACAGTGGGGCCTTGACTTACGAGTTTAATTCGTTCCGTGATGGAGCTCGTAACTCAAATTACTCGTATGTCAAATCATAAAGTGAACGAGTGAGACACGTGATGCTGGGCTGATGTTGTGGCGTTCACTGTGATGTTCGCTGCGCCAACTAGCGGTAGGGTATCTGAAGCTGGCTCATAACCCAAATTTTAGCTCGCAACTCAAAGCAAAAAATTAGCCAAGAGACGGCTCGTATCTCGAAAAACTCGTTAGTCGGGACACTCGTTAAGTCAAGGCCCCACTGTAGAAGATAAATAAATCCCAGATACCTGCTTCGAACTGGCGTGGCCTCCGCTCAAGGAGGGCCTGGGAACCTGGGTTGCCAGAGGCAACCCAGGAGACCTGGGCTCCGCTCAAGGCTACAAAGTTTCAATTATAGAAGATAAATAAATCCCAGATACCTGCTTCTAGCCCGCAGGTGTGACCAGCCTGAAAATAGCCCTCAGCCCCTCACCCCAGCTGCCAGCCTGAAAACGGTCTTCAGCCCCTCGCCCAGGCTGGCCAGGCACCCCAGCGGGGCCCCCACCCTGATCCGGGACACCCTTCAGGGCAAACCAGCTGGCCCCCATCTGTGCACCAGGCCTCTATCTTATATAATAAAAGGGTAATACGCAAATTGACCCTAACAGCTAAACGACTGGGAATGACTGGTCACTATGACACACACTGACCACCAGGGGGCAGATGCTGAATGCAGGAGCTGCCCCCTGGTGGTCAGTGCACTCTCACAGGGGGAGCTCTGCTCAGCCACAAGCCAGGCTGATGACTGCCAGCACAGCGGTGGTGGCGGGAGCCTCTCCCGCCTCCTCAGCAATGCTAAGGATGTCCGACTGCAGCTTAGGTCTGCTCCCCGCTGGCAAGTGGACATCCCCCAAGGGCTCCCAGACTGCAAGAGGGCACAGGCCGGGCTGAGGGACCCCCCCAAGTGCACAAAGTTTTGCATACCAGGCCTCTAGTAATACTAATAAACCACAAATATTTCAAGCACCAAGTGCATTAACACTGTACCTTAAGAAGGAACTCTTCATCTTAATCAAAACAGTCAGATATCTGTTTATCACTTCTACAGGCTGCCTTTAGCATATTATCCAAAGTTTTCTGAACTAACTCTGGACCTTAACTAACTGATATAAAGTTATTAGATCTTCAAATATGCTATTATCCATTATGTACAAAGTGCTACACTTCTGTCAAAAATCAGAAGGCTTTGCTTGGTTAGCATAGCTCAGTGGTTGAGCACTGACCTATGAATCAGGAGGTCACGGTTCGATTCCCAGTCAAGGCACATGCCTGGGTTACAGGCTCAAACCCCAGTGTGGGGCATGCAGGAGGCAGTCAATCAATGATTCTCTCTCATTATTGGTGTTTCTATCTCTCTCTCTCTTCCTTCCTCTCTGAAATCAATAAAAATATATTAAAAAAATAAAACAAAACTATATCAATCTAATGTTAGTATACGAAGAAGATAAGTTTTTTTCAAGATAGAAACACTTCCAAAGAGCAAATGTCTTGAAAACAAACAAAAACCCAATAAATTCAAAATGGTGTAGTCACTTTGGAAAATAATCTGGCAGTTCCTTAAAAGGGTAAGCATAAAATTCCCCTATGACCCAGTGATTCCTAGATATATACCCTAGAGCAATGGTCAGCAAACTGCGGCTTGCGAGCCACATGTGGCTCTTTGGCCCCTGAGTGAGGCCACCAAGTTTCAACCACACTGTATGTGCGCGCCCGCACGTGCTATTTTGTGGAAGAGCCATACTCAAGGGGCCGCAGTTTGCCGACCACTGCCCTAGAGAAATGAAAATACATGTCCATACCGAAAACTTGAACTCAAATGTTCATGGCAGGAATACTCATAACAGCTTAAAGTGGAAACAACTCTATCCGTAGGTATGATTCATAATAGCCAAAAAGTAAAAAAAATATCCAATTAGTTCATCAACTGATGCAAATAAAATACGATATGTCCATACAATGGAATATTATTTGGCAATAAAAAGAAGCAAAGTATGGATTTATGCTACAACATAAACTTTGAAAACAAGTAAGAGAAGCTTAATACAAAGGACACATGTTTTTCCATTTGTATGAAACATCTAGAATACACACATTTATAGAGACAAGTGGTAGACTCATGACTTCTTGGAACTGAGAGGAATGGAGACAATGGGGAGAGGGCAACAGCTAAGGAAAATAGAGTCGTTTCAGAGTGAGAAAATAATCTAAATTAGATAGTAATAATAGTTACACAACTCTATGAATATACTAGAAACCACTGAACTGTGTACCTTAGAAGACTGAATTTTTTTGGTGTGTGAAATATATTTCAATAAAGGTATCACTGTAACAACCACCACCACCACCACCCTATATAATAAAAACCTAATATGCTAAGTGTCCGACCGTTCGTTCGACCGTACGACCAATTGCTATGATGAGCACTGACCACCAGGGGGCAGATGCTCAGACCGGTAGGTTAGCTTGCTGCTGGGGTCCGGCCAATCGGGACTGGGCGAGATGGGCTGGACACGTCCTAGAGCCCTCCCGCGGTCCCTCCCCAACTGGCCAACCTCCCGCGAACCGTCCCGGAAAGGCCTGCCCCGATCAGTCGGATCGGGACTGGGCAAGACAGCCCCCGACCAGGACTGGGCGAGACAGGCCAGACACACCCTGGAGCCCTCCTCAGCCCCAATCTTGGTGGGGTCCCTTGGCCTGGCCTGCACCCTCTTGCAATCCAGGACTCCTCGGGGGATGTTGGAGAGCTGGTTTCGGCCCAATTCCTGCAGGCCAGGCCGAGGGACCCCACCGGTGAACAAATCCATACACCGGGCCTCTAGTCTAAATATAAAGTTAAAATGATGTATCTTGAAGCACAGTCACAAGGGTCTTGGCCGGCACAGGCACAGTGAGTGTGAGCAGCAGTAGGCATGGATGACGAGAAAGAGACATATTGGCTGTGGAAGATTTGCAAGACAATTCTTCAGCTGTGCCATGACCGAGGCTACCTGGTGACTCAGGATGAGCTGGATCAGACACTAGGAGTTCACGGCCCAGTTTGGGGACAAGCCAAGTGAAGGATGGCCACAGTGCACGAACCTCATGGTGCTGGTCAACCACAATGATGACCCCATTGAGCAGATGTTTGTCTTTTTCCCAGAGGAGCCCAAGGTGGGGATCAAGACCATCAAGGTGTACTGACAACACATGCAGAAGGAAAACATCACCCGAGCCCTCATTGTGGTGCAGCAGGGCATGACACCCTCCACCAAGCAGTTCCTGGTCGACATGGCTCCCAAGTTCATCCTGGAATTGTTTCTGCAGCAGGAGCTGCTCATCAACATCACGGAGCACAAGCTGGTCCCAGAGCATGTCGACATGACCAAGGAGGAGGTGACAGAGCTGCTGGCCAGATATAAACTCCAAGAAAACCAGCTGCCCAGGATCCAGGCTGGAGACCCTGTGCGTACTACTCTGGTATAAAGCAAGGGCAGGTAGTGAAGATCATGCGGCCCAGCAAAACCGCAGGCAGATACATGACGTACCAGCTGGTACAGTAGCCAGCCTACCACCTAGCAGCCCCTGGGAGACAGACAAATGGACTGTAGCCACCTTACTCAGGCAGTTGGCCTGCTGGCGGTCTGCCCTGCTGTGATCTGCTCAACCCTGGAAATCTACCTGCTGCTCCTCTGGAGCCCAAGGCAGACTGCGTGCTTGCCTTCCCTTGGCTGAGGGCCCTGTGGCCTCACATGGACACTGAGCCCCACCTGGGATCCTGTGTATTGGTTCCTCAAGATGCTGAGGAGAGGCCAGTGAGCCAACCAGCAACCAAGACAGTCCTAGGTTCTTGCCCATCCTCCCAAGCACTCCAAGCTGGCTCCCCACAAATGGGACTTGGGTCCGAGTCTTCGGGTAAGCCCCCACCTCCAGCTTCCATTCTCCATGCTCCTCTCACAGTGGCCCTATCCTTGACAGGTTGAGCACTCTGAGGTCAGCAGGCAGAGAGATTAAAACACATCCGGATTTGAGTTGGTATTGACGCTGGGTGTTTTTACATTAAAGGTGTTTTGAGTGAAAAATAAATAAATATATATACATGTATATGTATATATATATATGTGTGTGTGTGTGTGTGTGTATGTGTATATGTATATATGTATGTATGTATGTGTATATATATATATCTTCAGTGAATATAACCCAGAGGGTAAATACCCAGTAGGAAGGTCTGCAATGTCTCCTGAAACTCTTACCTCCTTGTCTTTACTATATTTATTCTGGTGAAGTTTCTTATATTTGTGCAGCCGCAGCATGTTATGAAGTTCTTCTCTGCTGAGATTCAGTTCTTCCTCCTCCTCTTCTTCTTCCTCTTCTTCCTCTTCTTCATCATTGTCTTCACTCTGAGAATCTGCCTCACTGGATTCATCACTTAGCAGAATGTTCTGAAAAAGGGAGGAAATGGAACTTCTGCTTTGAAACAATTCCTTTTACAATACAAGAATTTTTTAATTGAATTTATTGGAGTGATATTGGCTAATAAAATTAATAGATGTCAAGTGTACAATTCTGTAGTACATCATCTGTATATATTGTACTGTGTGTTCACCACCCCAAGACAACACAAGCATTTTTTTTCCAGATCCCAAAACAATGACAAAAACAGATAGAGGGCAGTCATTCCAGTTTCCTTTATACTACTCTTTGCCAATCCAACTGAAAAACAAAAGGATACCCATTAAACCTAGTAACACACAAATTGAAGAGCACTAAAACATGGGAAACGCTATAAACATCAACAAAGCTAGATTTTACTAACTACTTACACTATATATATAATAGTTTAACTAAATGTCAAATACCAAAGAAAAAACAAAACAAAAAAAATACCTATCTATATATATAAAAGCCTAAGCAACTGGCCCACCAGCTGACCGGTAGCTATGACGCACACTGACCAACAGGGAGCAGACACTCAATGCAGGAGCTGCCAAGCTGCAGTGACTTGGTAGCTGCGGTCCTCGGGTGACCCAGAACCAGAGAGGAAGGAGCCTGATTCTAAGGTGCGTCACCCGAGAACCACCCTCTCGCAATCCGGGACCCCTCGGAGGATGTCAGAGAGCCAATTTCAGCCCAATCCCCGCAGGCCAGACCAAGGGACCCACCAGTGCACGAATCCGTGCACCAGGCCTCTAGCCCATTGCAGAGGTCGTGGGTCTGGCCCTTAGAGAAACTTTTCAACTCAATTAGCTAAATGATGAGGCGTGCAGGACCTATTGGCTGCGGCCCCAACATCTAAAGCCCGTGCTGGCCCACCCGCTTAATATCGATTTCCAGTGGAGGCAGTGAATTTTCCTGCTACCACACTCAGCTGGGAAACCGCTGCAGCTTCCCTCCTTCCAGGCAGACAGTAGCGCCAGCAGGCAACCTCTAGGGAAAGAAGGAGGCGAAGGAGCAGCTCAGGTGGGAAGGAGGTTCCCACCGCCACAGGACTCTGCCTGGGCGGAGGGGCCTGGGCGGGAGCCTGACATTAAGCAGGGTCCTGCCCTAGGCCAACTAGATTCCAGGCTTAGTAAATCCTGTTTGCTAATAGCATTTTGCAGCTAAATGCCCACAAGTCATCAGTTACCTCCAAACTTAGGGTAAAGTTAGATGAAAGAAGCAAGACAGATACAGAAAATGACATAATATTGGGAGAAGAGAGGAGGGAGCCCGATTCTGGGGTGCATCACTGAAGAACCGCCCTCTCTCAATCCGGGATCCCTCAGGGGATGTCAGAGAGCCAGTTTCAGCTCCATCCCTGCAGGCCAGGCCGAGGGACCCCACCGGTGCACGAATCCATGCACCGGGCCTCTAGTAGGATATAAAAGAATATAGAAAGCAAGCTGTAATGGCTAATAAAGAAACAATCCCCAAATTCATTCATGAATGGATAAACAAAATGTAATATTATACAGATAATCAAATATTATTCATCAATAAAAAGGAATAAAGTACTGATATGTGCCACAACATGAATGAAGTTTGAAAATGTTATGCTAAGTGAGAAGCCAGACACAAAAGGCAACATATTATATGATATCCTGTTTATATGAAATGCCCAGAAGAGGCAAATCCTTACAGACAGAAAACAGATTAGTGTTTGCCAGAGGCTGAGTATGTAGAGAATGGGGAGCAACTGCTAGTGAGTACAGAGGTTTCTTTCTGGAGTGATGAAAATATTTTTTTATTAGACAGTGATGATTGATGCACACAACTTTATGAATATACCAGAAATGACTAAATCATACTTTAAAGGGGTAGATTTTATGGCATGTGAATTTTATCTTGATTTTTAAAAATGTGATGGCTAGCCCTAGCCAGTTTGGCTCAATGGATAGAGCGTAAACCTGCGGACTGAAGGATCCCAGGTTCAATTCCAGTCCAGAGCACATGCCTGGGTTGTGGGCTCGATCCCCAGTAGGGGGCGTGCAGGAGGCAGCCAATCAATGATTCTCTGTCATCATTGATGTTTGTATCTCTCTCTCCCTCTCCCTTCCTCTCAAAAATCAATAAAAATATTTTGAAAAAAATATGTGATGGCTAAACAAAGATTTCTGAATTCCCAACAGCTTACAGCCTCACTGAGCTGACGCAATCTGGACTTTTGCACATGAGTTTTTAAAAGGGCCTAATGATAATAATAAAAGAATACCTTTAAGTTACTTTCCATTCTTCACAAGAAAAGTATGAAATAGAGAAAAATTAGTTTCAATAGAAGAAATGCTATCCTTAACTCAGTTTGACAGTAATCTTGTAAGCATCTTAACCATACTGAACCACTCTCTTGCTTATAAAGACTCCAATAACTTACTACTGTAACTAGAGTAAAATACAAATTCCTTGACATGGTGTACAAAGACTCTAAGTGATCAGGTTCTCTAACCTCATCTTCTACCATCCACTTATTCACTGTCCTCCAGGTATAGGAGTTTTCTTTCTCCCTCAAACATACTGAGTTGCTTTCTTTCTCAGAACTTTTGGAGTTATTCCTTCTGATTGAAATGCTCACATCTTATACCTTCACACAGTTCTCTCTGATCATTCAGAAATTGTTAAAATGTTACTTCTTTAAAGCCATATTTATTTATTTGTTTACAGGCTTACTCACTGCCTCCCTCCATTAGAATGTAAGTTCCTCAGGGCAGGAATCCTGTCTATGAACAACAGTATCTGGCACATAGGATGTACTTAATCAACATTTGGTGAGTGAATAAACTACTCAAGGGCAGATAAAAAGTAGACTGAATGTCCCAATTACAACATGAGCCAGTGAGGGCAAGGATCTTATCTAATACTAGAGGCCCGGTGCACAAAATTCGTGCACTTGCGGGGGGGGGGGGGCCCTCAGCCTGGCCTATGCCCTCTGGTAGTCCAGCAGCCCTCGGGGGATGTTCGACTGATGGCAGTTGGACATCCTTAGTGCTGCCATGGAGGTGGGAGATACTCCCACCACCGTGGCTGCACTTACCAGCCGTGAGCCAGGCTTCTCGCTGAGCTGTGCACCTGCTGTGGGAGTGCACTGACCACCAGGGGGCAGCTCCTGTGTTGAGCGTCTGCCCCCTGGTGGTCAGTGTGCGTCATAGCAACCGGTCGTTCTGCCATTCGGTCTATTTGCATTTTATCCTTTTATTATATAGGATGGTCTTTGGTTAATTAATTCCCACCCACCCACCCACGATAGGGGTAGGGGAAGGATGCGGGAGGTTGCCCAGCCAGGGAGAGACTGCAGGAGGGCTCCAGAGCATGTCTGGCCCGTCTCGCTCAGTCCCAATCAACCGGACCCCAGCAGCAAGCTAACCTACCAGTCAGAGCATCTGCCCCCTGGTGGTCAGCACACGTCATAGCGAGCGCTCGAACTCCTGGTCTCCGGGTCGAACTCCCGAGGGGACACTTTGCCTATTAGCCTCTTATATATAGAGATATTTGTACTCAATAATGTTTACTAAAACAAACTTCATTCTTCTAGATTCTTGTCTATAATCTCTTCAAAAAACCACACCCAGAAAAAAGACTCATGTCTATAAAAATCTCTGCCAATGTGCCAGAATGCATCAATATCTTTCCCTCTTACTTATTGTTAGTAGATTATTTGAATTCTAAACATTCTGTCTTCTCTTACCTTTAGCCACTTCCTGCTTTTCTTCAACTTAGAGAAATTATATAAATTTCCTTTGTCAGCTTTTGATTCTGTGTAAAGAAACATAAAGAATAATAAAATCAAAGGATGACTAACCAAGAAGAACTGACAGTCCAAAGAGGGATCTCATACCACACTGACCTGACTGTAGAACTCCATTCAATGAGTACGTGTTTAACATTCCAGAACTGCTTGCTCCAGAAGTTTCACCAAGCAATGAATTTGGAGGTTCTTCCTTAACTTGTATTAAGGGATCCCCAGACTGGGGCAATAAAGGATTACTGTCATCCAGTCCATCTTCACTTTCATCACTAGAAATTAAGAATGGTGAATACACAATCAGGGCTGACCCAGCAAAATATTATAATTTATGGTTAGTAGGCTGAACATTTTCTAGGAGAAATGGATCGTTTGAAAAAGTTCACTGTTTTATTTGAAAGGAAATATATCAAACATGCTAAAAATCATGAAGTATTTTAACCCTAAAATCTACAGTGAAAATGGGAATCAGAAATATGACTAAACATCATAGAGGAAAGATGGATTAACATACCTAGAAATATTCCTGTTGAAGATGGCTGATGTCTGTCGCAGGAAATGGTCCAACCGGAGGGCCCTCTCCAGGTACTGAAGATAGAGGGGCTTTGCCAGCTCAGTGCAGCCGCCATCGTCCCCGGCACCCAACTCCGAGGCCATAGAACAAATCTGTCTTCATGCACAAGGGTCTCTGACTGCACGGCTGTAGAATGGAGATAAGTAGTGAAAAATGAAATACTATTATTGTCCCGTTATCATAACTGCTTTTTATAAATGTCAAAATAAATCAAACCTTGTCTACAGGAAGATCATTATAAAGCTCACAATAGGCACTGCCTTCTAATGCAAAGGCAGAAGTTAAAAGGATGAGAACATCAAAATACAGAAAAAAAGTCATGTCACAATAGAAATTCACACTACACTTCTTTGAAACAGTACCTTACAATTTATACCCATTTCTCTGTGCCCTACAAATGAACAATTACTAACATTAATCCAAATCTATACCACAAGCTCATTGTTATACACCTCACATCACCTTCAAACAGCTGCTCCCTTTTTTCATTTTATATTTACATTTGTACATATGTGTGACGTGTTACAAGAGAATAGATATACTGGCAGAGTATTTTACATCCCTTGTAAACATGCCACGAAGTACAAGATTTAGAAATGATTTAGAAAACTGGAGCAAAAAGAATAAAAGTGAGGACAAGAAACATAGTATAGCCTGAGCATTCTCTTTGCTACTTTAAGTTGTTAAAGACAATGTTAGAGTCAGAATATCTTCATTAGAGAAACAATCATTATAACAATTTTCCATCTTTAAAAAATTAAGAGGTTGAGCCAGGATTAAATAATGAGATAATATAGAGTAATTAGATTATCCTCTGATATACAATGAGTACTCAATAATGGTAAATGTTTTAAAAGTTCATAATCTATGCATAAACCATTGTCACAGACAATGTGGTGAAGGCCTGAGGGGGCAAGGGTAGGATGGAGGGGGTCAATGGGGGAAAAAAGGGAACAGCTGTAATACTCTCAACAATAAATTGAAAAATAAACTTCATTATCCAACAAACTAAGGTATATGCTTTTCAAAGAAACTTTAGTATATTTTAAAAAATATATATATTTTTGCCGAAACCAGTTTGGCTCAGTGGATAGAGCGTCAGCCTGTGGACTGAAAGGTCCCAGGTTCGATTCTGGTCAAGGGCATGTACCTTGGTTGCAGGCACATCCCCAGTTGGAGATGTGCAGGAGGCAGCTGATCGATGTTCATAAGTCCATGCTCAACCACTGAGCCACACTGGAATGGCAAAACTATAGTATCTTTATTTTGTATTATCTTCTTTTTATTATAGTTTTTTAAATTTCCTAATATAATCTTCCTACTTATGGAAATGTTAGAAATTCTCCTCTAATGGATATATAGATTCAATAAATCCCTATCAAAATCTAAGCAGTCTACTGCTTTTTTTTTTTTTTTTTCAGAAATTGACAGCTGATTCTTAAAATTTATATGGAAACACAAACAAACCAGAATAGCCAAAATAATTTTTAAAAAGAATCTAGTTGGGCCCTGACCCATTTGGCTCAGTGGATAGAGCGTCAGCCTGCGGACTGAAGGGTCCCAGGTTCGATTCCGGTCAAGGGAATGTACCTTGGTTGCGGGCACATTCCCACTAGGAGGTGTGCAGGAGGCAGCTGATCGATGTTTCTCTCTCACTGATGTTTCTAACTCTGTATCCCTCTCCCTTCCTCTCTGTAAAAAATCAATAAAATATATATTTTTTAAAAAAGAATATAGTTGGGACTGGCTAGTGTGGCTCAGTAGTTGAGCACCGAATCAGGAGGTCACAGGTTCAATTCCCGGTCAGGGTACATGCCCAGTTTGCAGGTTCAATACCCAGTGTGGGGCATGCAAGAAGCAGCCAACAAATGCTTTTCTCTCATTGATGTTTCTCTCTCTCTTTCCCCCTCCCTTCAACAGAAGGCCATAACAAGAGACAAAGAAGGTCACCATGTAATACTAAAAGGATAAATCCAACAAAAGGACATAACCTTGTAAACATATTTGCACCAAACATTGGAGAACCTTAATATATAAAGAAAATATTGGCAGACATTAAGGGAGAGATTGACAGCTATACAGTCATAGTAGGGGATTTTAACACTAGATCTTCCAGATAAAAAGTGAACAAGGCAATAGTAACCTTAAATGACACACTGGGTCAGATGGGTTTAATTTATATTTACGGAACATTACATCCCAAAGCAGCAGAATATACATTCTACTCAAGTGCACATGGGACACTCTCAAAGATAAACAAACAAACAAACAAAAATAAACCACATGTTAGGAGACCAAACAAGTTGATAAAGTCAAGAAGATTGAAATCACATAAAACATCTTCTCTGACCACAATGTTATGAAACTTGCTATCAATTACAACAAAAAAACCTGAAAAACATTCAAATACATGGAGGCTCATTGGTTGAGCATCAGGTTTGATTCTGGGTTGGGGCACATTGCCCAGGTTGCAAGCACCGAACCATGGAGGAGGGTGTGCATGGAGTGGCTAATCAAGACTCTCTCTCATCATTAATGTTTCTATCTCTCTCTCCCTCTCCATTCATCTCAAGTCAATATATATATATATATATATATCCTATCTAATAATAGACAAACATGGTAATTAACCATACCTTCACTACGCCTCCCACTGGCTAATCAGCGCGATATGCAAATTAACCCAACCAAGATGGCGGCCAGCAGCCACGCAGCTGAAGTGAGCAGGAGGCTTGCTTGCTCCAGTGATGGAGGAAGCCAAGGTTCCCTGCCTGCCGCAGCCCGGCTCTGAGCTCCGAAAGCAACAAAATTTCAATTATAGAAGCTAAACAAACCCCAGATACCTGCTTTCAGCCGGCCGTGGCCACAGAGCTGGAGCCGGCTCTTAGCTGCAGTGATGGCAACAAAGTCTCAATTATAGAAGCTAAACAAACCCCAGATACCTGCTTTCAGCAGGCCATGGCCTCAGAGCTGGAGCGAGCAGGAGTGGCTCTCAGCTCCAGTGACGGCAACAATGTTTCAATTATAGAAGGTAAATAAATCCCAGAATTACAAAAAAAAGAAAAAAGGAAAGGCTGGGAGCTTCAGTCGCCGGCCAGCCTGAAAACGGCCCTCAGCCCCTCACCCAGACTGGCCAGGCACCCCAGTGGGGACCCCCACCCTAAAGGGGGTGTGGCCAGCCTGAAAACAGCCATCAGCCCCTCATCCAGGTTGGCCAGGAACCCCAGTGGGGACCCCCACCCTGAAGGGGGTGTGACCAGCTGCAAACAGGCATTAGCCCCTCACCCAGGCTGGCCAGGCACCCTTCAGGGCAAACCAGCCGGCCCCCACCCGTGAACCAGGCCTCTATCCTATATAGTAAAAGGGTAATATGCAAACTGACCCTAACAGCAGAAAGACTGGGAATGACTGGTCACTATGACACACACTGACCACCAGGGGGCAGACGCTCAATGCAGGAGCTGCCCTCTGGTGGTCAGTGCGCTCCCACATGGGGAAGCTCTGCTCAGCCACAAGCCAGGCTGATGGCTGCCAGTACAGCAGTGGTGGTGGGAGCCTCTCCCACCTCCTAGCAGCGCTAAGGATGTCCAACTGCAGCTTAGGTCTGCTCCCCGCTGGCAAGTGGACATCCCCCGAGGGCTGCCGGGCTGCCAGGGGATGTCTGACTGCCAGCTTAGGCCCGATCCCCCGGGGAGCAGGCCTAAGCCAGCAGGTGGTCATCCCCTGAGGGGTCCCAGACTGCGAGAGGGCACAGGCCGGGCTGAGGGACACCCCCCCTACCCCCCGAGTGCACAAATTTTTGTGCACCGGGCCTCTAATATATATATATGTATACACACACATATGCCAACAAATTGGACGAGTTGGGCAAAATGGATGAATTCCTAGAAACATACAATCTTCTAAAACTGAAACAGGAAGAGTCAGAAAACCTTAATAGACTGATTACAACTAATGAAATTGAAGCAGTAATAAACTACCAGTAAACAAAGTCTTGGACTGGATGGTTCCACAGGTGACTTTTACCAAACATTTGGAGAACTAACACCTAGCCCGGCGGGTGTGGCTCAATGGTTGAGTGTCAACCTATGAACCAGGAGGTCACAGTTCAATTCCCGGCCAGGGCACATGCCCGGGTTGTAGGCTTGATCCCCAGTAGGGGGCATGCAGGAGACAGCGGATCGAGGATTCTCTCTCATCACTGATGTTTCTCTCTCTCTCTCCCCCTCTCCCTCCCTCTATCAAATCAATAAAAATATATATATATTTTTTAAAAAAAAAAAAAAAAAAAAAACACCTTTCTCAAATTATTCCAAAAAATTCAAAAGGAGGGAAGACTTCCAAGCTCTTTTATGAGGCCAGCATTATCCTAATTCCAAAACCAGATAAAGATACTACAAAGAAAGAAAACGATATAGCCAATATCCCTGATGAACACAGATGCTAAAATCCTAACAAAATATTAGCAAACCAGATCTAGCAATACATTAAAAGGATTATATACCATGACCAAATAGAATTTATTCTGGGGATGCAAGCTTGGTATAATATTTACAAATCAATAAATGTGATACATCACATAAACAAAATGAAGGATAAAAATCATATGATCATATCATTAGATGCAGAAAACGCATTTGATAAAACCCAGCAACCATTTTGATAAAAACTCTTAGCAAAGTGGTAATAGAGAGATTATATCTCAACATAATAAAGGCCACCACACAGAACAAACCCAAAGCCTACATCTTACTCAATGGGCAAAATCTAAAAGCACTTCCCTTAAGATCAGGAACAAGACAGGGATGTCCACTTTCACCACTCTTATTCAACATCGCACTGGAAGTACTAGTCATAGCAGTCAGATGAGAAGAAATAAAAGGCACCCAAATTTGAAAGAAGAAAGTAAAACTGTCATTATTTGCAGATGACATGATATTATACATAGAAAACCCTAAAGAGTCCACTAAAAAACTGTAGATCTCATAAATGAATTTGGCAAGTAGCAAGATACAAATTAATATTCAAAAATCAGTGGCTTTTTTAGGATTAAAAGTAATAAAAATTTTTATTTTAAAAGGTAAAAATTTATACATCCTTATATAAAAGAAATAACATTTTACCAA